TGAACATCGAATTCCATCCTGCACATGAACAACATGCGGGAGGGTCGGAGTTGGGATCTCTGGTGGTTCCTCCGACAATCAAGTCAGTCTTAAGCTTGAGTGAAGAAGAAAGATAAGGGTATGATGTATTTTTAGCAAGAAGATTGCTTACTCTAAGCAGTAGACAACAATTTCCCTCTATAGCAGATCCAGGAGGTAGATGGGTAGCTTCGACCAAGTCCAAGCAGGCGATTTAGTCGTCATCTACTTTACATGTATTGGTTACAAAGGGGGACGAGTCACCTAGGCGTTTAATGTGAGGGTGATAAAGTGTGCGTAGAGCTGAGGAGATCTGATGAGTTATAATTTCGGGGCTGGAGAAATAATGACTCTGATCATGCATTTAATGTGATGGAAATTAACTATTAGCAGAGGGCCCGAGGATACACCGCCTCTCCCCTTTCATCTCGATTTTGCAAGTGGGCCGATGAGTACCACCTTTTTAATCGGCTTCGAAGGTTGTCGACCCGGCCACGTAGAGTGAAGAGGAGTGCAGTCGACTTGAATAGTGAGTCGAGTGAGGATGTTTTTCGACTTAGCCTTTGTTAGGGAGGGTCGAGGTGCTGGAGCCGCTCGAGTCGTCCATCCCAAAATATGGCTGACGTATATAAGATGGGACACATGTCGGCTCCTCATCGAGGATAACATTTAGCTACTTGTAGGACATAACAAGTATTACTTCAGATTAAATCTGATTTCGAATGAAGGACAATTTTTTCTTTTCCAAATGCTATAATTTACTTTTGAGTTATAGAAAGATCTCATGGATTACTCAAGATAAGAATATGAGCCTAGAAAATATAGTTGAAGAGGTCAAAGTTACTGATAATGAAGTGCCAGGAAAATCTGTTAAAATTTCTCAAAATAATAATAAGAGCATGGAAATTAAAGATGACGAGGTCAAAATTATTGATAATGAAGTGTCAGGGGTTAAGAAATCTTTTGTCAGTTTATTTTCAGATAATAGTCAAGCTGGAAGAGGTTTATCACTAAATTTTGTTCCTTCTTCCCAAGGAAATATTGTTTCATTCAATGAGGATGAATGGAGAGAAGGGGAAAATTTCTGGAATTTTGCTCTAATTGGACATGTAATTGGGATGAATGTTAAGTATAAATCTATGGAGTCCTATGTTACAAAGCTTTGGGGTAAAATATCTATCCCTAAAGTATTTTTGATTAAGCAAGGTATATTCCTGTTTTATTTCCAAAATGAGAGAAGTATGAGAGGGATATTGGAAGGTGGTCCTTGGTTCTTTAGCTCACGTCCTCTTGTTTTAAAGCCATGGACAATTGATATGGACATTGAGAAACTACAAGACCAAAAGTACCCCATATGGGTGCTATTTCCTAACCTAAGGTTGAATTTGTGGAGTTCCACTGGAATTAGTAAGATTGATAGTTTGATTGGATGTCCTATTGCTACTGATAAGCTAACTACCTCAAGACAAAGATTGAGTTATGCAAGGGTTTTGTTGGAAGTTGATTTGCCTTTTAAAGAACCACTACCTGATCAAATTGAAATTCAAGGTCCGGATGGTAAAAGTTATCATCAAAAGGTGGTTTATGAGTTCAAACCAAGATGGTGCTCCTTTTGCAATAGTGTAGGACATGATTCTCAGCACCGCAGGAAACATGTTCCAAAAAGAGTGTGGGTGCCTGTTAATAAACATGTACCTAGTGTTTCTAATAAAGTGAGGGAGCCTGTTAATAAACCTTCCAGTGTTGCTAATGAAGTGAGGGAGGTTGTAGAGAGGGGTATCTTTTCTGATAAGGATGTGGTGCTAAATTTTCAAGGATCAATTGCTAAAGAATCTGAGAATGTTCTAATTGATACAGCTCCTGTAAAACATGCACTGCTAGAAAAACATGCACAGAATTTTCCTCTTTCTCTGCAGACTGGGAAAACATGCACATATTTCAATCAAGCCGAGAAAGTGAAACAGAAAGCTTACTCTTGCTCTCCGCCTATTAATTCAAGTGGATTTACTTTTGTCACTAGAGCTAACACTGCAAAAAGACCTATTATGAGTGATCCTGGAACATCAGTGGAAGCCTCTCAATTTTCTATTCTTGATCACCAAATTTTTGATTTGGATCCCTCTAATGTTGATAGAGGGGGTACTTATCAGTAATGCACTTAGCTATTTGGAATGTTAGGGGGTTTAACAAATCCTCTAAACATGGAATAGTGAAAAAAATTATTCAAGAGTACAGTATTTCTTTTCTAGTCCTCTTAGAAACTAAAATTGCTGGGGATAAGAAATTGCAATTTATTGGCAAGAAAATTACAAAAGAGTGGAAGTGGATATCTAATAAGCAATTGGCAAATAATGCTAGAATATGGGTACTATGGGATAGTGAAATGCTTTCAGTTCAAGAGGTCAAATCCTCTGATCAATATATCACCTGTGCTATAAAATCTAAGGATGACAAATTGTCATGCCTTTTCACTGCAGTTTATGCTCACAGCCTGAATGATGAAAGGAAAACTCTTTAGGAAGATCTATTAACTTTCAAAAGGAGTGTTGACTGCCCATGGTTTGTGGGTGGTGATTTTAATGCTATTGTAAATGGAGATGAAAAAATTGGAGGTGCTTCTGGTGCTGGAAATGAAGACTTTCAAGATTTTATCTCATCTAGTCAACTGAGTCACATTAAAACTACTGGGTGTTTTTTCACATGGAGTAATAAGCAGGATGCTGAAACAAGAGTATGGAGTAGGTTAGACAGATCCTTGGTCAATCAAGATTGGGTTCACCATTATACTACAAGTCAAGTGGAATATTTGATGCCCCTTTGCTTCGATCACTCCCCTGGACTTATCACTATTGGTGATGATATTTTTGAAGGTAAAAAGCCTTTTAAATTTTTCAATATGTGGGCTAAACATCCTAACTTTTTAGAAGTGGTGAGGTCAGCTTGGAATCACAATGTCAGGGGGTATAATATGTACAGATTCTATTCGAAACTCAAAAGCCTCAAGCATGCTCTTAAGGACCTCAACAGGAAGAATTACATGAACATAAGCCAGCAAGTTCTAAGAGCTCAAACTGAACTATTGGATATCCAATCCAAAGAAGAATTACATGAACATAAGCCAGCAAGTTCTAAGAGCTCAAACTGAACTATTGGATATCCAATCCAAACTGAGCAAAGATCTTTTTAATGCTGTTTTGATTTCAAAGGAGAAAGAGTGCACTAAGAAATATGATGTATTATTGGAAAATGAAAATTCATTTTTGAGGCAAAAAGCAAATATCAAATGGGGTCTTCTTTCTGATAAGGGCTCTCATTTCTTTCACTCAGTTATGAAATCTAGGAGGCACAAGAACAGAATTATGTTAATTTACACTGCAGATGGCTCTAGAATTTCTGACTTGCTTGGAATTGCATCAGAACTCATTGATTACTACAAGAAGCTACTGGGATATACTAAGGCCAATTCAATTGTTGATTCTAATATAATCTCTAATGGTCCTACTTTAACTTCTGCTCAACAGCATGCTCTGAGTTCTCCTGTATCTAGGGAAGAGATCAAACAAGCATTATTCTCAATGCCTGACAGCAAGGCTCCTGGACCTGATGGCTTCAATGCTTACTTCTTCAAATCTGCATGGAGTGTTATCAATGAGGATCTATTTCTAGCAGTTGAGGAATTCTTTCACTCAGGTACACTTTTGGGTTCCCTTAATAACACATCTATTACTCTTATTCCCAAGGTTCTCAATCCTATGTCTGCTGCTGATTATCGGCCTATATCTTGTTGCAATGCCATCTATAAGATCATTTCTAAAGTTATTGCTACTAGGGTGCAAAAAATCACGGGCTATCTGATTAATGATGCACAATGTGCTTTTGTAAAGGGGAGGCTCATTTCTAGTAACTTCTTATTGGCTCATGATCTTATTAAGCACTATGGTAGGAAAAATAACTCTCCTAGAGCTATGCTGAATGTTGATTTAAGGAAGGCTTTCGACACTATTAGTTGGGATTTCATAAGGAGTATGTTGATTGGATTAGGCTTTCCTAATAACATGATTTGTTGGATCATGGAATGCATTTCCACTCCCAAATTCTCCTTATCTTTAAATGGTGGACTGCATGGTTACTTTTATGGTGCAAGAGGACTGAGACAAGGGGATCCACTCTCCCCCTATCTTTTTGTCATTGGGATGGAATACCTATCTAGAAAGCTCAATACTCTAAAAGATGATTCTTCGTTCAAATTCCACCCGAAATGTTACAGATTAAAGATTAACCATTTAATCTTTGCTGATGACTTGCTACTGTTTTGTAAAGCTGATATGAACTCTATTGGAAAATATTTTACATGCCTTCAAGAGTTTGGACAAGTCTCTGGTTTGGAAGCTAATTCCAGCAAGTGCTCTGTTTACTTGAGTGGAGTTAATAATAGCCTTAAAGATCAGATATGCAATTATCTGAAATTCCCTGAGGGAGTACTACCTATGAAATATCTGGGCTTACCACTAAATGCAAAAAGACTCTCATACACTGACTGCTCTAGCCTTATTGGAAAAATCAGCAATCAGTTTCAATCCTGGCAACAAAAGAAATGTCTGACTTATGCCGGTAGACTTGAATTGATCAAATCTGTTATTCTGGGCATTCAAACTTACTGGCTTAGCAATTACATATTGCCAATAAAAGTTTTTAGAGAAAATCGACATAATGTGCTCAGAATTTATGTGGGGACGAAAACTTCATTTGGTGAACTGGGAAGCTGTCTGTCAAAGGAAAGAACAAGGGGGTTTGGGGATTTTTCAGCTAAGTTTTGGAACTATGCTGCTGCTACAAAGCTCCTGTGGATGATTCATCTCAAAAAAGACCTCCTATGGATCAAGTGGATACATGGTAACTATCTGAAAAATCAAAGCATATGGGCAGTTCAATCAAAGGCTAATGATTCATGGATGTGGAGGTAGCTCCTTAAAGTGAGAGACATGTTGCTGAATAAGTTTGGTAATGCTGATAATACAAAGAATATGTTAACTGAATGTTGCATTGGTGATAAGCTTCAGTTGTCTTCAGTATATAAGACACTTGTGCAGCCTGCAAATGAAGTTGCATGGGCAAAAACTATTTGGGATGGCTTCCTATATCCTAAGCATTCTTTTCTATTATGGCTAGCTTGTCATGCAAGACTTCTCACCAAGGATAGATTGTGCCGAATGGGTATTTTGAGCACAAATCAGATTCAGTGTGTTTTATGTAATGGTCATCAGTTGGAGACAAGGGACCATATTTCTTTTGAGTGCCAATTTTCAGCTAAAATCTGGAATATGCTAATGGACTGGTTGAGATATAGATGGAGGTCTTGTGTTTGGAGATTGATCTTGAATTGGTACTCTCATAATTTGAGAGGTCAAGGCCCTATGCAGAAATTGAAAAGGATGTGTCTCTCCATTGCAGTTTATATGATTTGGAAAGAGAGGAATCAGAGAATTTTTCATGCTAAAGAAAGACAACCTATTCAGATTTTTAGAGACATCAAATTTGTAGTTTTTTCAAAGGTTCAAAATGATGATATACATGTACATATGAAAGAGATACTTGAGAGCTTGTAATCTTCTTTTTGAGTTTCCAGGTTTCTTGGTTCTCTGATGTTCTTCAAAATGTTTCAATTTGGAAAATGAATAAAATTTAAGTTCATTGAAAAAAAAAAAGATCTCATGGATTTTTGTCTAGTTTGCGAATGAATACAGATTCCAAATAGTTTGTACAAGGCCCGGCCCATGTCCAGCTCGAATGCTCAAGCGGTGCAGTAGCGAGCGCTTTATTATTGGAACACTCACCTAGGAGAGAAATCGGGGAGCTAAAGCGGCCGCTTTAGGAATTAGGAGTGAAGGGAGACAGTTTGGACCCTCTGAGCTCAGCGGACGATTTCAGGAACTAGACAAATCGGACCGGTCTAATCATACCGAGTTAAAAGAAACGCTCACTTACAAACCATCCGTTATGTTTAGCAGGACTTTATCCGACTCATGGCATTTTTGTACGCTTCAACGTAAAGTCCATCAATCTATGTGATTTTTGATATATTTCCATTAGCTTTTCTTTAACATTTTCATCTTTTTTTTTTAATTTTGATTCCCAGTAAGGATGAATATTTACATTTTTTTTGTTGAAGACATAATATCGCATATATCTAAAATGGTATTACACGAACATTCAGTATTACAGAAACTCTAAGCTAAGTCAATTGCGTTTTGTGATATTTTGGTTTTCAAGATCCCATCAGAAATGAGAAATCTAGAGTTTGAGACATATACAAATAAAAGCAATCACCAAAGAGACAAACAAAAATTCATGTAGCATCTTCCCAAGCAATTGTTTGAGACAATTTTTTCATTTCAAATAGAGCTCCAACAATATACACAGAAAATGACAGAAACATTATTTTGTGCTCATTGTAAGTTTGTAACATCATCAATGTATTTTTAAACTGACAAAAGTGTGTGATAATTTATATTATTTAGGAAGTTCAGTCAATGAAAAGGTAGATAAAATTTGTATAGCATCTATTAAAACCGAGAGGATAATTATAAAAAATAGAATTTTCAACCTTATTCCCATGCTACTCTCTCTCTCTCTCTCTCTAAATGTATTCCTACTTTGCTACTTTAACTACGTGTCAATTATTTTCCTGCCACCCTTATCCTGTCACTCCGCAATGTATTACCAAGAATACTAATAAACCGTATAAGGATACATATACGATGAAACAAATACACCCTGATATAGCGGGCCAGACCTATTCACAGCACGAACTTCCTAATCAGCGCTTACGAGGGTGCTTTACGTTCGCACGCCCCAACGCGTTGAACTCTTGCGATTCAGATATGCTACTCCGCTTTAAGGAATATGGCAAGTGCCAACCTAGCCACATCCTTTTTTTTGGATAATAATTCCAAAACGCCATCTTTTATTCATAGCAATAGTTCTTTTCTCCAAGAATAGAGGAAAGATGCTTAACTTTGTTCAGTAACAAGATAACTTTTATATTTTAAAAATGATGTTTTAAGTCCTCTCCAATACGTTCAATTCCTCCCATCACTGTTGTACATTTTGAATTCGAACACTATTGAGCCACATAAGATTTTATTATCAAGGCCGAATCCATGATTGTTTAGCTTGGGAGGGGTAGTCAAGCTAGTTATCAAATTGAAGACTACTTAGATAAAAAAAACAATTTAAAAACTAATACGTTACAAAAAAAAATTATACTCCCTTTAAAAGTGCTAATTTTGAAAAAACTTTTTACAGTCAATATTATCATTCACTATTTTAAATATTTTATTTAAATCTTAATCTATTGTAATCCTAATTATATTCTATACTAATCTTACGTGAACTATTTACAGCTCAACAATTTAAAAAAAATAAGATTAATAAAATACATGAAACGGTTTCACAAAATTAGTTAGTTAAGTTAAACAAATCGTATATAGCTAGCATACTATAATACATGAAATATTTAAAAAAATCCAAATAGTTATAAAATTATACAAAATACTCTCAAAAGTTTAAAATTATATAAAATACCCTGACTTTACAAAACTTAAAATAACAAAAATAAAATCTAAAAGTTAATAGCAACCCTTGAAGAATTTAAAATTTTTAATTAACATCCTACACGTTAAACATTGTAGAAACACCCTCAAAGTTCAAATTACAAAAATACAACCTAAATTTCTGATTCAAAATTGAAAACAACATAGATGAATCTAAGGGATTACTATCAGACACCTAAAAATTTAAACTTTATAAAAAATAACCCCAAATTTATAAAAATTACAAAAAAGTCCCTCAAAGTTATAAATTATAAAAAAACCCTAAAAATTTAAAACTCATAACTAGCACACATCAAATCTGGAAAATATTAGAAGACTGCTGAAAATTTGAATTCTACAAAAAACAACCCAAAGTTTTAATGATTATAAAAAGAACCATCAAAATTTTAAAGTTGTAAGAAATATCCAGACATTTAAAAACTTATCACCAACACATTAAACATGAAAATTACAAGCACACAACATAAAATTTTAAATTTTTTAAGAAACACTAAAGTTTTAAAAATTTCGAAACACACCTTCAAAAGTTCAAAATCACAAAAAAAGCGGGTGAAATTTCAAACTTGGTAAAGAAAAGAGCAAGTGTTGGTATTCTTTCATTAAGATATGTAAATTTAACTTTTAACTTAAGGTTTACTATCCTTTTCAGCATCTATAAGTAATCTAAGTTAATACTGGTAAAAATTTAGCAATAACAATAGTTTAAAAATATCAAGTTAAGGTGTAATAATTTGTAAAATATATTGATAGATTAAACATTAACGTCATTATATAAATTAAAGTAAATGTATATAATTTTACTAATAAGTTGGAGCATCAAAAATACATAAGTAGCATCACTTGATAGAAGAATAAATCAAATAAAAGTGATAAAAGATTATAACATAATAGCTTAGCATTAATTGATTATATTTTACAGATATTAATCTATGATGTTATTATTTTCATGCCACCCTTACCTTGCCACTCCCCAATGTATAACCAAGACTACTAATAAACTGTATAAGGATACATATACGATGAAACAAATACACCCCGATATAGCAGGCCAGGCCTATTCATAGAGCGAACTTCCTATTCAGCGCTTAGGAGGGCGTTTTACGTTCGCACGCCCTAACGCGTTGAACTCTAGCGACTCAGACGTGCCACTCCTCTTTAAGGAATATGCAAGTGCCAACCTAGCCACATCTTTTTTTTCTTTTTCTTTTTTCTGGATATCCTCTTTAAGGAATATGCAAGTGCCAACCTAGCCACATCTTTTTTTTCTTTTTCTTTTTTCTGGATAAATAATTCCAAAAGGCCATCTTTTATTAATAGCAATATATCTTTTTCTTTTCTCCAAGAATAGAGGAAAGATGCTTAACTCTGTTCAGTAATAAGACAACGTTTATATTTTATTAATGATGTTTTAAGTACATTTTCCAGGTATAGATCCTCTCCAATGCGTCCAATTCCTCCCATCATTATCGTACATTTCGAATTCAATGCACAATATTAGGTCATGTAGGATTTTATTATCAAGGACTAAGCCATGATTGTTTAGCTTGGGAGGGGCAGGGTCAAGCTAGTTATCAAATCGAAGACTACTTAGATAAAAAAAACTAATTTAAAAACTAATACATTGCACAAAAATATTATACTCCTTTTAAAATTGCCAGTTTGGAAAAAAATCATGGTCAATATTACCTTTCACTATTTTGAATATTTTATTTAAAACTTAATCTATTGTAATCCTAATTATATGCTATACTAATCCTACCAGAACTTTCTATAGCTCAACAATGTAAAAAAATAAGATTAATAAAATACATGAAACATCATTACAAAATTAGTTTGTTAAGTTAAACATATCGTATATAGCCAACATATTATAATAAATAAAGTATTTAAAAAATCCAAAATGTTTCAAAAATTATGCGAAATACATTCAAAAGTTTAAAACTACACAAAACACCCTGGCTTTACAAAACTTAAAATAATAAAAAGTAAAATCTAAAAATTAAAAGCAGTAATCAAAGAATTTAAATTTTGCAATTAACACCTTGAACGTTAAATATTATAGAAACACCCTCAAAGTTCAAATTATAAAAAAGTCCCTCAAAAGTTAAAATTTGCAAACCCTAAAATTTTAAAACTCATTACCAGTACACATCAAATCTGAAAAATATTAGTAGACTATTTATATTTTGAATTCTACAAAAAACAACCCAAAGTTCTAATGATTATTAAAAATACCCTTTAAATTTTAAAGTTATAAGAAATATCCAGACATTTAAAAACTTATCACCAACGCATTAAATATAAAAATTACAAGCACACAAATTAAACTTTTAAATTTTTAAAAAAACACCGAAGGTTTAAAAATTGTGAAACACAACTTAATAGTTCAAAATCACAAAAAAGCGGCTGACATTTCAAAACTTAGTAAAGAAAAGAGCAATTATTTTATATTCTTTCATTAAGATATGTAAATTTAAATTTTAACTTAAGGTTTACTATCTATTTTTAGTATTTAGAAGTAGTCTAAGTTAATGCTAGTAAAACCGATAGTTTAAAAACATCTAGTTAAGGTGTAATAATTTGAAAAATATATTGATAGATTAAAAATTAACGTCATTGTATAAATTAAAGTAAATGTATATAATTTTACTACTAAGTTGGTGCATCAAATATTAATGAGTAGCATCACTTGGTAAAATGCTAAATCAAATAAAACTGATAAAAGACTACAATATAATAGCTTAGCATTAATTGATTATATTTTATAGATATTGATCTCTATTTTTAATAATATTTACAAGGTAAAAAAAATACAATGATTTATGTGTGGAGAAACTATTGAAAAGCTCAAAGATATCCTTCAAAAGAATCAAGTTCAAATGAAGAAGTGGAGGAAATAAACCCATGATTTGAAAATGCCCATGAATCATTTTAATTGATATTGATAAAAGGCATATCAAAGAAGCATTAACTGAGTTCCCCTTGAAAAACAT